CAGTGCTGTTCTATCTGTAGGCTATTCAACAGACTACCCCACTGTCCTGATTTTTTTACTGTAAGTAATACAATTTTGTATCATTAAATCCTGAAGGCAGGCTAAAGAAAGTGCTCGTAAGCTCATGACAGCTTTCGCTGTCTCCTGTTAAAATACCCATGTCATCACAAAAGCCACAATAAAACATATTTTATTCTATTGTAGTTTTCTTTTTTTATAAAAAGTTTTTTTTAATTACATAACTATAATTTTATAACCTTAATTTAATTAATTTAATTGATTAATTAAATGAAATAGTGTATTAATTAAGCTTAAATAAGGAATTAATCTCTGTTCGTTACCACCACAAATATTATATAATATTATAGTTTTTTATTGGGTTATTCTTTTCAAAACAAACCAACTCTAATTGTTACTTTAATATGTCATTCAAAAGCTAGTGGATTGTGGAATATTATATTTGTATTAAATAAACCCGTGTTTATTCCATTTTGGGTTTACCTTTAAACCGGCATGTGCCGGTGAATCGAGTTCGGTTGCTCAAGGTCCTCGGATGAACCCTGCTTGGATATTGCTATTCAACTGGGGAAAGCGATCAACTAGGTGCAATAATGGATAAACTGTAAAATATATGGAAGGGAAGGTACTGTAGCAGACACTTACTATAATAAAATTTCAGTAGCATTTTGTAAAATACAAGTTACATGCAGCTCGCGAACGGTTCGAATAATAGAAAAATTATTGTTGCAATAAAATGCAAACGTCATTTCTATTGAATTACTCGGTGATTGCAATATATATACATAAAAACGTTTTGTGCGGACTAAACATGAAAAAACCGATAGGAAAACGATATTATATTTTCATACAAAGACAGTTTCCGGTGCACACAAACACATAATTTACACAATAGTCAATAGTAAACGGACAGCGGGTTTTATTTTCCTCAATACAATCTTCATTTGTGTACTCCGACGTTGTAGCAGAGCGACACTGTGATTTTACGATAGCTATCAGTTTTTGAAGAAGAAAAAACCAATCTTATTACGATATTGCGACTTAATGTAAGTACAATAATAGTCTTTGAGGTGTACGATTAGAATCACCCCAAATTTTCATCCATTTGCACCGTTATGGTCTTTGGACATTGCGTCTCATGTGACTTGGAAAGCATAGACGGATATCCTAGAAATTGAAACTAATATTTGTTGTTATATTTTAGTCTCCAATGCCTTTGCCATACAACCGTATGGTAAATGAGAATATTTTTTTTTAAACACGACTCTCCAGTGAACAAAAAAAACTGCAAAAAACTTGAATAATTGTATTTTGCCACGATTTCCTATAACGTGCTCCGAAGACTTAATATTGTTACGCTTGACTACATAACTCAATGTCAGGTAGTAAGAATTTACATTAGATCCTGTGTTATCCCGTGCGACGACAAATAAATCAAATACAGCCAACAGCGTAGCCGCCGCCAGTCAGTAAGGTAATACCAAACATTATATTATCTTTGATTCCTATACCTACTTTTGAGTTTTGACACATAGTATTTTGGAACACTCGAGTCAAGTAAATAGTATTGTGTGTAAAACTAATATATTTCTGTGGTACAAGATGACGTATTCTGTAGTATTTTGATTAGGTTGATATGCGTGGTGATTTAAATTTCGAAAAATTGTATATTTAGCGTTTTATTTATAGTATACTTGGAAATTTTGTAACAAAGTTGGTGTACTTTATTCTGCGATCGTTATAACAAGGAAATGAAAAAAAGTCTACCTACATGAAGTATCGATCCCGCAGCGATGGTCTGCACCGTCTCGAGAGCCGTGACACATCATACATTATCTCTGTTTTACTATGTACCTAAAATTATATTATTGCTGACCTCGACTGCAGATGCTGCTTCTGCGTATCATTATTTTTCCACGCACAAGTTATCAAGTGAAAATAAAGAGGTGGGAAAAATCTTCCAGGCAACACTGTGTGGCGCTCAATTAACACATTTGTATAAGTACTATGCTATTTCAAACCTTTTCGGTTAACCTAGATATTTATCCGAGAAAAACAAACAATAGCTGATAGCTGATGTTAATAGCTTCCTTATCAATAAGTGTATCCACGATTTCATATTATTAGTTTTGGTATGCGCATAACTATAACATGGTAGCTTCTGTAGCTCTTGTGTACCTATACGAACAATGGCATAATATAAAACTAAAATGTTTATAAAGATGACCACCGAGAACCTATAAAATTGAATTCGATCGTTTTCAAAGGAACGGTTTTCGCACGTGTGTTTTTGCCATTATCATTTACGGTTTGAACTTTAATAATAATAATATGATAGCGTTTGACTACCGAAGCCGACGACCGCAGCACACACATGAGTGCTTCCTTTGACACTGGCGGAAAGCAGTTTTCGCACGACCGGGTTTTCTTTGCTATAGCGCTACACACATTTCATGTTGCCCATTAAAATATCAAACGTAAAAAGAATATATATATATATACATTAGATGTATACATATATATTTATTATATATTACTAAATTGCCAGTTATCATATATACATGTTTGAGATAACCTGACGATTGGAGCGACGCCGAGCTATTAAGTGCGTTTTTGTGGTTCTTTGGCCGTGCGCCAAACCGTGTGATCGGGTTACCTGCGGCTGCTAAAGAAAATGGTTTTAGTCATCCACGCTTTTACCCATCTATCGCATAGATGAAAGGAATAATTAAAAAATGTTTACATTTTCTTTAAAAACAGAACCCACAAAGTCGAAAAATAGACAATGTAAAAAGTTCAAGTAAATGTATGTCGTTAAGAGTACCGCGCTATTATATATTATATATATGTCACGGGACTGTCTTATCTCCAAATTGAAGGTAGACTATACTCCGATACAAATGATACATTTTTTTTTTTTGAAAACCAGCAAGGCATTGTCAAAATTAGCTCAGCCATTGGCCAGGCAAGCTATACAAATTATTCCCGAATGGACAAATTTTGCTGTAAATGCACCGCCTCAAGTGAGAATGGCAAATTGGAAACAACTGCTTATTGGAGGAGCAACATCTGGTTCAATCCTAATCGTTCCTGTTTGAGTTTTATGTTTGTCGTCGTTAATAATTAATTGATGTTAACTAAAATTGTATAATTGGTTTGAAATAATTAAAGTGAATGTAAACTTAATAAAATACATTTAAAATTTAAACAATGAACTAATTTTGTAAAACAATTTTATTAATACTATAAACTGAAACGTGTATATTTTTTATATATTATTAATCGTATTATTACTATAATAATATTATATTCTTCTTGTTATTATATTTTGGAATCAGGTCTATCAAAACAAAGATTATATCCTTAATGATAGACGATGCAGTGCAATATCAATATATATTATTCATTCTTGTAAACTCCAATACTGCTAAATAAATAAATATTATTATTATTATCGAAAATTTCAGGAAAATATTTAATCACAAAATAGCACAAATTGTCCAGTAAATTTAAGATCAAAACTGAAATTTGAAAAAATGTTAAATTATGCAATTAATATTAAACGAATCAAAATAGTCTTAGAACAAATTTCTAATTTTTTAAATTAACAATACCTACATTTCTAAAACGCTTTTAACTTTATCTCTATTTGCTTTACATTAAGGTCAATTGTTACTAGTTTTGCCACTGTATATTTTGTCTCTGTGATCGTTTGTTATTGCTTTAACACATCAATCTAAAATACGTATAAATTCGTTGGTTGATATTAATCTTCCTGTGTAGGCATATAAATATTTTTTTCTTACCAAAAAAAAAATGAAAAAGATTTGGATGAGGGAAATAACGGAAAATTGTGTTTTTGACAACCGCCGCAAAAAAAAAGTTTGACTACAGTTGTTATTATATGTACAACAATTTTATAATAACAGACTAGGACCCATCTGCTTCTCAATTCAATTATTTTGTATGGAAAAATTGTTTTATCTATCTGACCCGAGTAAAATGACGGAAAAGAATATAACGTTATTGACATTTTTGTTCAAAATCATGTAAAAAAAATTATTTTTATTTTTCGCGTTTTTTAGGAAAAAATTATGATTTATAATCTTGTTCGCACGTCTGTCTTATCATTTAGTTATTACAAAATAATAACAGGTATTCAGTAACTTTTAATAATTATTTAAATGCCTATAGGTAAATTTTTTTTTTACCTTAAGTATTATATTTTATATACCTTAAAAATGTCTACTTGTATTTTGTATATTGCTCTTCAAAAATACCTTTATGTAGTAGGAAAACCGAATCTGGAAAATGTCAAAATTGTTCATCACCCAATGACGGGTATTGTTAATATTCCCTTATTATAAAATATATATTCCCTTTTAAAATCTGGCAAAATTCCCCGTTATTGACCGGACGCCAAAATGCAATATGTATGCGGTCCAATATTATTATTGTTACAAGCGGACCGGACCGCCGCCGAAGTATGCGGAACGAAGCAGAGCAGAGGTGGCGGCGGCTTACTCTCTTTTACGAGGGGTTCGAGTTTTGATGGCTTATCCCACCGCGGTCGCCACCCCACGTTAACGCGGTCCTCTGCCGCCGCTCCGCTGTCGCCGGATGCTGCCGCCGCCTTGGTTCGGTCGGGAATCATATAATATATTAGCGTCGTCGGCACACGCGGCTCCCCCCCCACGCTTACGTCCCCTAATGGCGTGCGGGGCGAAGGGAACGGTAGGCTACATAGAGTGGTGGCAAGAGCAGCAGCATGAGCGGCGGCGGCGGCGGCGGCGACGACGACGACGACGACGACGACGATGATACGACGTTGTAGTTCGGTGAGCGCGCGATCGTGTGTGTGTGTGTGTGTGTGTGTGGCGCGCGCGTATCGTTGGCAGCACTGGACGGGGGCGACGGCAGGGGCGACGAGAGGACGGTTTGGGTGTCGGCCGGCGGATAGGTCGCGGCGGGCAACTGCTGCTGGCGCTATAGTGCTCTGTACTCACCAACACATACACGCACGGCATCTCGTCGCTAGGAGGACTCACTACTCGTCGCTGTCGGCCGGGCGTTCAGACTTCAGTTCGCCCAAGTCCGTCTCCGGTGTTTGTCCACGGCAGTCGCAGGTGTTCCGAAACCGATTTTTTCGAGTTTCGAGTTTTCGTAATTGGCGTTGTCGACGGGCGAAAAAAAAAAAAGGATTATTTTGACTATTTTTTACAAACGATATTAAATGAAAATTTCGCTTTACCTTTCCAACAACAATAATAATAATATTATCATCGGTTCGTTTGGTTATTTTATTGTATTCTTTTGGTGAATTTTTATTCTTTTGCCGTTATCAAATAATTGCGGCTTACGAAAAAATCTAAATTTTAATATTCTGAAGTAAAAATTTCATCCGGCCAAAATTGTGGCACGATTCGTTCCACAATTATCTCAGCAACCGGACCGGCAGCCAAACGTCATCAGCTTCCACACCAGCATTCGAGGCCAATCGTCATGGACTTGTTTGTCGACGGTAAAACATCTTATATTTATATTACTATTTTTTCATCCTAACACCTATTTTAAGTTATTTAAATGAGCCGTCCGTGTGTGTGTGTGTCGTTAAAATTGTTTATTCGCCGGTAAACTGTGGGATTCAGTTGTAAAATAGTTCTAAATAGTTTTACTACATTCGAATTTATCCGAAAGAACGTCTAAAAAATAAATTACTATTAATTGTTAAGAGTAAAATATAAACAATAGAAAGTATATTTAAAGCTTTTAAGTTTTTATTTAGAGCGACGCGATATTAATTACCGCGACTATTCCGCCCGAAAATATAATTAAAATCAAAAAAAAAAAAATAAACATTTCTGTCGCGTTAAGTAGCATCTTGTTGTCGCATGGAAAGTTCCTATAAAACTGTGTAAAAGTAATTTCCCATCGATAAACAATAATTGAACGTGCCAAAATTGATAACAGAAGTATATTATAAATATTATACTACAATTTAATGTAATTTCCATTTTCTCGGGAACCAAGCACCGCGGGACACAATATTATAGGTAGGTACGCGGATAATAATAATTACGAAGAAAACGACAAGATGATAATAATATATTTTACATTTATCCACAATTGTTACCGTGCGATAAATTGATACAGACTAGAGAGAGATACAACAGTGAATCGTTCCCGGAAAATCATCCCGCTTTTGTCAAAACATAAAGCTAAGTTCAATTATTATTATTATTCTCTTTAACCGCCGCCGCCGCAAAGTTTTAAACGCAACCGACAACACTTACCGTGAGACAGCCAAAACCTTTCATTAACGAGTTGTACTTTATTATTATTACTTCCCGTTTTGTGTTCTCGAATAATAATTATTGTTGTGTCTTTTTTAAAAATCCCATCTCACCGTGTCATATTATTAGGTATTGTCCACGGTTGTATACAGTGCGCCTTAGTATGATAACATTACAATATTGGGTAAAACAAAAATACATATACACACACGGGATAATGTTATGACAAATGTCGCCATTTCACCCGGCAAGTCGAATCGCTCGCAATAGTCCCTAAAGGCCTCCCCCTCCCCCTTCTACCCCCCTCGTCGACGTTGGAGACTTTTTGCGGTTTTGATATGATGTAAATGTGTTATTGGATTTATGTGTTTGTATATTTTGTGTTTTTTCTCTCTACATGTACCTACTCGGTGCAAAACCGATTTCGTGCGTGAAATATAATATACAACTTGTATGGAGGCGGCGGCGGCTAAAAAAAAAACAATAGCGTTTCGGCGATGAGAAAACGCATTATATTGTCGTCGTATCCAATACATAATATAGGTACGGTTTACAAATGATACTATTCGCCTTTGACAATCGATTTTCTCGAAAATCCAATCTGTACTCACCAAAACAATCGTTAAAAACGCTACGATTGCGCCCACCCCGACCGTCTCTCTTATATTAATAATATATTATTATTTTTTACTTATAATAAAGTTACACACCACCACACACACACTAGCACGATTATTGTTGTTATTATTTTTTGTTATTACACTCTATACAAGGCGATCGATCCAATCCGTCTCTCATCATCGAGACGAACGGCAACCGTGAAAGAATCCGGTTTTTTATTCCATCGAATAGCGACCGCATAAAAAAATACGCGTAACGAATCGAATAAAAAAAAAAGCATAGATCGGCCGACAAACGGTTAAATATAATAATAATAATGTGTCTGGCTGAGATAATACGGTCGGTTTGTTTTTTTTCTTTCTTATTTAACGCCTCATTAATGTATTGGATTAGAGCTGCGGCTCGTCTCGACCTACCGCCTGCATAACTTGTCGCCCAATCTTATTATACATACACATTCGCAATCGTTCATCGATCAAAGTCCGAGTTGCCATTAAAAACACTAAAAACGTTAAAAAAAACAAATACCTAACCCGTCGGCTACTACGTACGGTTATCTTAACATCCTGGGGGTTGTTTTTGTTGAGTATAGTCAGTCAGTAGGTCGAGTACAGCCCCATCGGTATGATCTGAGAAATTAACTATGCATCAACACACAAAGTTCCCAATTAGGAACAGACCGCTTAAATAATATGGCAAACGCCTATATGCCGACACGGTGTTCGCGTTGCATAACGCAAACGTTATGAACATTCGTTTTTGGGCACGACCACAAGCCGTTTGTACACAATATAAACACCTAAGCGTTTTTCGCGCATTTATATAATATGTACATACTTATGTGTGTGTCGCACGCAAATAAATAATATAATAATAGTACAAGTATATAATATACAAAGACGTATGGTTGTGTCGCTCTTTTAGATTGCGACATTGCGATTTTCGTTCGAGTGTCGTTTAAGGGGTTTTGTTTTCGTCCTCTGATATTGCCGCCGGCTTTTTAGTTTTGGATGTGACTTTTCTTTTCTTTTTTATTTCTTTCCACCTTTACCTTGCCGTGTATACGATTATTAATATTATCCAAACGCCCACGCGCAGGACGAAAACGTTTAAAGACAACCAAAGCCCATTGCTTTCTCTTTAGGCATTCGCCAAAAGTCACACTATAAGTCGTTCGCCCGAAGACGAGCTACGACATATTATTATTATTATTATAACATAGCGGCGGTGTGTGTGTGTGTCCTATGTGTGTATATCAGCTATATATTATATATTTTATAAAAATAACACTTACCTGGTTATATATACCGCCTCCGCGCGCTATGACAAAAATGTTTTCAGTCCACACAAGAGAAAACGCTGCTGAAACAAAATAATAGTTGGGGTCGTTATTTTTTTTTGCTATGTTGTGGCCGGACTAGCCGTGCTTTATCCTGACAATATAATATACACGTGATGTATTAAATGTATAAAATAAAAAAGGAACATCACGCGTATATTATATATATTATTATAAATGTATACATTTTATACCAAAACCTTAAGTATATCATATAATAAAAATTGTTATTACCATAATATAATATGTGACGTAGGTACGGAACACCACCTAGTCGGGAAGTTATGTAAATTTTCTTAAAATCGCTGTAAAATTTAACGACCGCGGACCTCGGACTTAGAAGTTTTACTTGACGAGTTATATGGGAAAAAAAGCATATTATACTAAAAACGCTACGAGACGACCAGAGCCGGATAAAACAATAATAATCGGACACACGCACACACACAATATGTCCACAAGTCACAGGTATTAAACCACCCGCAAGGTCTTTGCTGTGCGGTTGGCCGGCTAACGTTTTCCACCAATACGCATAATATTTTCATTTACTATACAATATTATATGTATTTTGCCACTCGACGTCGATTAGCCCTTTTTTACAGGCGGCCGGTGAAAATCGGCTTTTATCCTGTGTACCGTTTAAAAACTTTATACTCCGTATCATTTGTTGTTGTTGTTATAGCAATAATAATATGAAAAGGGTGTTTTTTTTTTTGCTCGAATACGTGTGCAGGTCATAATATCAATCCATCGCCGACAAAATGACCTTCGTCCGGCCCGCTATTGTCGGAGTGACTGAATAAAATTGCACACAAACGGTCCGAGTTTTTGCAGCGAATCCGTCATGGCCGTATCCACCGACCGGCCGGCGATCATCCATCACAAAGTCGGGAATAAAGGGAAAAAAAATGTTTCAAAAACCATGGAAAAATAATGACAGTTTTTTATTTTTGTTAATCATTCAAATAGACAGACGCGGCGGCGACAGACCTTCTGGCTTCTAAGTACAAGCCGTTTGAGACTATTTTGACCTTAACCGCAGACCAACTCGGACCAAGGCGGTTCTTATGGTCGTGTAGGTTACTGTCGCACATCACGGCCGTGTAATGAACGATTAATCGTACTTGTATTTATCAATAACAATAATAATCGTTTAATAATTCAATTTCACGGCCGCTTTCATTTGCCTTTTCTCGAGCATTGCACGGCATTTCATAGTACTTACAGAGTTAAAAATGTTCAAGTTCAACCAAAAAAAAAAACCTGGTTAAAAGTGTTATTCCTGATTTCAAGAAAGGAATAAACTTTTTCTACTTTTTCCTCCCCCTACCACACTCTTATACTACCAACTAGATAATACTATTAATTGTAATCTAAAGAGGCGCTCATCGAGTAAACCTATGGACAAAAACACATTATTTTAAAACGGATTCCATTCTCGTGTTTATAATTTTAATTTTGATTGATTACAATTTCACTTAAATATTAAATGTAAACGTGTAAGTGATAATTTCTTGGACATTTTTACCTGGTTAGGTATTATAGTGTGTTTTACGAGCGCTGCACTATTATCGGCATTTCGAATTGTTTTGAGTTGAGCTCTTTCGTTGGAAACTTACCGTCAACAATTCGTTTTGTGTTTTTAACGGTATCGGTATAGATAATTCATACGGCGACGATTGTAAATGGATTTAGTTCCGCAAAAAAAAAAAAAAGGCAAGAAAATCATAAAATATTACATTGAACGCCGACCTCATGTCATGATCGCGCAGAGGTCCCGGCAGCTGGTCGACAAATCCCATACTGACATGTGTTCTGGTCGGCAACAAATTGTTTTCCTAAATAAATTATTGTGTTGTATTATTATTGTGTCTGCGCGGTGCAAAGATTGCCGGATAACATCAATAAGCGATACGGGTCAGTGTCGTTAATCAATTATTATTCGGGACTCGGATATATATATATGTACAATAATAATAATAATAGTATAAATCTATACATTACCGAACACAATGTTATTAATTATTATTATTACCGTCGGACGAACACGATCTCAGCCCAAACCGCAAACGATAAGACGTCACAATAATTGGTACGTTGTATATTATATACAATAATTTAATGTAGAGCTGCCGCTGTTGTACGACTGATGTCTTATTAGTTATTTCACACATACACACACACACATATGATATGATATGGGCTTGCATTTTTTTTATTATTGCAATATAGCATCGCGTATAGAACGTTATATTTAATGTGCCGGT